TTGGCTCAAACGGCTACCCCAAACGGCTATATAGCCGTTGGGTGTACCAGGGGGGGTCAGGGGGGTTTGGGTGGGGGGTGGGGTGGGGGTTGGGGTGGGGGGTGGGGGTTAAAAAAAAAACCTATAAATACTCCTAATTTTAAACATTTTTTCACACCTCTTCTCCAACTCTTCTAAATCCTACTCTCTACTCATCTCCATTCTCCAATTCTCCATATTCATCTTCTCTAATTCTCTTATTCTCCTTTATATTTTATTTTACTATTTAATACTTATACAATTATTATATCTACTTATATATTAATTATCTACTTATATATATTATTATCTACATATACTATATTGCTTATATTTCTTATCTACTTAATTTCTACTTATATCTCTTAATACATACATACATACTATATCTACTTAATATATACTTTATATAATAAAGTATTAAATATACTTTATAAACTATTATTATATACTTAATACATAATAATATCTACTTCTCTACTTATATTTTATATATACTTATTTTCCAATCTCCAATTCTCCATTATACTCTAATATTTAATTCTTATACAATTATTATATCCACTTAATACATACATTCTACATCTACTTAATATATATTTATATATTAAAGTATAAAATATAAGTGTATTACTCATCGTATAGTATAGTATACTTATATATTATATATTATAAACATTATATTATATATTACTTACTATAACTAGTATTATACTAGTTAATTAGTTAATTAGCATTCTTGTTACATTTTTCATTATACTAGTTAATTAGTTCATTACCATTATTGTAACATTTTTCATTATACTAGTTAATTACTTAATTAGCATTCTTGTTACATTTTTCATTATACTAATTAAAATACTTCACATTTTATTTAACTAGTTGTTAGTTTGTTACATTTGTCACTATATTAGTTAACTACTTAATTAGCATTGTTGTTACATTTTTACTTGTACTAGTTATTTACTTCAAAAGTTGCTATAATTTTAATTGTAGAGACACACATTAATTCTACTTTGCAAAAAATTAGTTTGAAGTATTAATTAAAATAGTTTTAATTAGTTGCATTAGTTTTGTATCCATTATTATATTTGTTGTGAATTAATATTTGTTACATTTTTTAGATGGAAGGTGGTAGATATTCGGTTGATTTGGGTAACCTCCAACGCAATCGAAGAAACGAGATTGGGAGGAAGAAATCCCGCAAAGGTAAAGAACTTGCCGGGTCTTCATCTCAAAGTCGAGATGATTTTGAAACGGGTTACCAAAGGCGAGATGGAGATGCGATGTCCGAAGAACAACTCCAACAAGAATTGGCCCGACATAATAACCGCTTTCTACAACAACAACAAATGCCGACGACCATTGACGAAGAGGAGCTTGAGGATGAAGATGCGGAGGAATTGGAACCGGAGACGGCCGAGGAGGAGGGTGCCGGCAGCCACGACGCCGACGCGCCTGCCTCATCCCAAACCGCCACCGGTAATAAAAAAAGTAAGTCTGAACTAATGAAAAATAATTTTGATAAATGGAAGGACCCACAAACCGGCTATTGGCACGCAACTTGCAAGTGGTGCAACAACAATTATAGTTTGGGAACCTCCGGCGGATACGGATCCGCCGCAAGGCATCTTAAGGCAAAGCACCCCGTGGAGTATGCAAAATTAGGCGGCGGAACGGGGAAGCAAACTCAAATATCGAGGTTTGCGAATTCTCAACCTTTTGGTAATTTCGCCTACAATGATGCACAAAATTTGACTGGTATGGCTAACTTAATTTGTGAAGAAAATTTGCCTTATTTGTTTTCTGAAAGTCTTGCTTTAAAAGATTATGCACAAGGTAGTTTAAATCCTCAATTTAGAAATTATAGTCGCAAAACTGTTAAGAAAGAAATAATAAGGCTTTATAATGCGGAAAAGGAAAGGTTACAAAATTTTTTTGCAAACTTTGATGGGCGTGTTACTATTTGTTCTGACATATGGGAGGATGATTTTCATCATTTATATTATTTGGGTCTGACTGCACATTATATTGATGAGGATTGGAATATGCATAAACGTGTTCTTGCTTTTCGTGAATTTAATGATCGTCACACCGCTGAACATATTTATATTTTGATTGAGCGTATTTTAATTGAGTATAATTTGATTGATAAGGTGTTTGCTATTGGTTTCGATAATGCTACTAATAATACTGCTGCTATACCTAGATTGCGTGAGTTGTGTGGTGCCAATTCTTTGATGGGTAGATTTTTTCATCAACGGTGTGCATGTCATGTTATAAATTTATGTGTGCAAGACGGTTTAAAAGCGTTAGGAGATTCCATGGAGGTAATAAAGGGGGGGGTTAGACGTATTTGGGGTAATGGTCAACTTAGATTAAAATGGCAAAGTTATTTGACTGAAAGAGGTGTGAGATATGTTGCTTTTCCTAAAGATTTGAGTATTCGTTGGAATAGTACTTATAAATTACTTAAAGTTGTTCTTAGATATAAAGAACATTTTCCTGCTTTTTTAAAAGAACATGATAACTATATTATAAACGCGGCTGAGATCGACACTTGCGAAAAAATTTGTAATGTTTTGATATATTTTTTTAATGCTACTGAAACTTTTAGTCATGTTTATAAACCTACCGCAAACCAATTTATTCCACAAGCTGTTAATCTCGCCGATGCTTTTAAAGAATTTCAAAATGCCGTTTTCGTTCATTATTTTTGTGATCATATGAAGGAAAAGTTTTTAAAATATTATGCGCATATTCCCCATATTTATGGTATTGCATTTATTCTCGATCCTCGTTATAGACTTGCTAATTTGGAAGATTGTTTCAACTTCTATTATCTTGCGTTTTTCGGTGAATTTCCAATGTATGAGGATAACCCCATAGATCCGAAAACGGAATACAACGAGGTTAGTACTTTATTTTATGCCTTATTTAATGAGTTTCGTGCACAATATAGCAACGCTCCCCCTCCCCCGTCACGAACATCTTCATCTAAAGGAAAATCGATTTTTAAATCTGCATTTGGCAATCTTATGAAAAAAAGTAAAACAACTCACGTCACTGAACAAAGCGCATTGAATGAGATTACTTTGTATTTAACATATGAAGTTGATTTTGAAGAAAATGATGACTTTGACGTTCTAGACTGGTGGAAGTCAAAAGAAAGAACGTTCCCGATTTTAGCACGGATGGCTAAGCAAGTACTATCAATGCCGGTTTCAACAGTTGCGGTGGAACAAGAATTTAGTTCGGCCGGCAACGTCCTAACGGCATCTAGATCGAGATTGAGCGCGGAGTCTCTTGAGACGCTTATATGCTACCACGATTGGTTGAAGGCCGCACGTAGAACTCAAGAATTGAGCATCACCCCCTCCCAAGATTTTATGGATGACTCAACAACCGATGGTGGCTCTACCTATGCCGGAGATTCCGATTGATTAGTATTTTAGAATTTAGTACAAAATGTATTTTATAGCACTTGTCAAATTTATTTATACTTGTACTTCATATTTCAAAATTGTAAACTTGTACTTCATATTTCAAAATTGTAAATTTGTAGTTGTAGTTCAAATTAATTTGTAAACTTGTACTTCATATTTCAAATAAATATGTGTTCACTTTTTCATATGTAGCACTTCTCAAATTAATTAATTGGTTACAATCTAACGACTTAAAATTATTTTTCTAAAATATAAAGCCGGTTTTTAAATTAAAAATACATTTAGAATATGTAATTTGTTTAAATACTTATACACCTATTTTGTAACATTTGTTTTAGTTTTACTTAATTCATTAAATTAATTAATTTATTTTACAATATGTGTATAACTTAAAAAAAAAAAAAAAAAAAAAATTTCAAAGCTCCCAAACGGCTATATAGCCGTTGGGGCTATGGGTGGGGGGCAGGGGGGTCCCGGGGGTGGTGGTGTGGGGAGTGGGGTTCAAAAACACCTATAAATACATCTATTTTCTAACATTTTTCTACACCTTCTCTCCAATTCTTCTCAAACTCTTCTCCATCTTTATCTTCTCTTATTATCCTACATTCCTACTTAATTACTTATAGTGTTATACATATACCATTTTAAATATGGAAAGTACATCTTCTCTTATGCAAAACAATTTTGACAAGTGGAAGGACCCGAAGACCGGACTGTGGTGGGCAACTTGCAGGTGGTGCAAGAAAGAGTGTTGCTTGGGGGGTTCATACGGATACGGGATGCCAATAAAACATATGAAGTCTTGTGACAAAGGGAAAACAACCAACGGTGGCGGAAATCCCAATTGATATTCATTACAAAATGTATTTCGTATTGTTATTTTTTTCTCAATTCTCAAATGTAGTTCTTATTTCAAATAAATGCACTTGAACTTTGTTTTTAATAGCAATTTGTATAATATATAATTAATATAAAAAAAAAAAAAATTTATTGACCCGGCCCGGCCCGGCCCGGCGGGTGGCCCGACCCGTGACCCGGGCGGGTGACCCGGCCCGAACCGGAACCGGTCATTGACCGGGCCGGTCCCGGGCCTACCCTTATAGGACCCGAGGCCCGACCGGGCCTTGACCCGGCCCGGGCCCGACCCGGCCCGGGTCCATGCCTAGGCTAGGCCGGGCCCAAAGTCCCAAACAATACCGATTCCGGGCTGGGCGGCCCGACCCGAGTCCATGACTAGTTATAGAGAATGAAAGTGTACACAAATTTTGTAAAGTGCCATACATCAAGTTTAACACAAAATTTAATTGTCTAGCACTATCAAATCAATGACTAAAAAAATAACAACATTATCCAACCTACGCTCGATATTCAACAGTTATTAAATAAAATTTATATTAATTATTAGTTTGATTTTCCAGCATTGATCATGTTGAAAAGGGCAAAACGAAAGTTAAACTAAACTATGATTCTGTCTTGTTTTGATTTATTTGCATTTTGATTTTATTGCAGTTCAATTTAATTTAATTCAGTTTTCAGTTTTCCCAACCTAGGCATAATGGTATCCATCTTGTGACTTGTGAGGAATTTTCACCTACTAGTTTTCAGTAAACCCATATTCAAAATACTAGCCGACTCTGACTGGAGTGACAGGCACAATGCGCTAGACTATTTTTACATGACACAGTCAAATTTGAATGTTTCAAAAAGTTCAAATAGCCTAAACAAATAAACTTTCTAAAATTGAAAAAAAAAAGTATAAAGTAATTGAAGGAAAGAGTACAATTGAGAAATATAAAAAAAAATGCTAATAAGGTGGACAATCGATCGGGCACTACTGGGTGGTTTTTCTTGGTCTTCCTCGTTTCCCCGAACCCTTTGGTTTGTCACTAGGACTTTTCTTTATATTGGGTCCAACCCTACTACCACCGCGACCAGTAGCAGCTGCCTTTCTCCCACGAGTAGATTTGCTGCCGCCCTTCTTCTTACCATTACCAGCAGCAGCAGCTTTTTGTCCATTAGATCCTTCTTCACTGTCATCATCACTATGACCGTTTTCATCATCACCACCTCCCCCTGAATCTGATGACGAATCATTGGACGGCTTCATCCTTTTTTTGGACTTCGCTGCAGCAGCCAACTTTCTGGTAGCCTTTTTGGGAGGAGCTTTTTCAGTGACTGAAGTTTCATTATCTGGTCCTTCACCAAGTACACACACACAGCAATCAGATCTACTCCTTAACCCCCCCCCCCCCCCCCCCCCTGAAAACCTTACATTCCCGTGTGGTTGAAAGGATGAAATATATGATTTCGAAAAGAGAAATATACATGTATCCTTCTGGAAAGAATGGGTGATGATTCAAGAAAGAACCTGTCTTCCATTGTTAGTTGGTTAATGGAAAAAAGATTATAAGGGATTATGTATTCTACTTTTGGGCTGCTGCATTCAAATGAGAAAAAAAAAATCAAAATACTCGTGTAATAAGTCATACTCTGTGTAAAGACATTCTTTTAATCAATTAATCGTGAAATAACTTATTTTTTAGGAAATTTTACCAGAAGAAGATAGAACTGGGCGGATCAACCCGGAAACCGGCAACATGACACCTAACCCGGTCCGGTTGTATATAAACCCGTAAATGTAGGTAACACTGGAATTACCCTCTGACCCGTCTTAGCCCGGGATGGACCGTGACAACCCGATCCCGGAACACACAGAATTTTTGGAAGAATCAGCTTAGATGGAAAATATATGGCCAAGAATCAAACCTGCGCCTGCCACACCAAGGATCAACTCAATTTCCACTCTACCAAATAGGGCCGGTTGAATGTTTAGTTGTTTCTATTCCATTACATTACAATGTTAACAAATACGTACTTAATATAATAATGTATATATTTGTTGTTATTTAAAATATGAATATCACTAGGTTCTCGCCCCGTCAGTGACACATTATCACTCTGGTTGGAGGTGGCATCAAATTTGCAAGGGCACGCTATTTTTCATAGGCTTGGAGTGGTGAGAACTGCTAAGGTTGTTAGCTCGCCGCCCAAAATCGACACGCTACTCCAATGACTAGGATGGTGTCAAATATGCAAGGGCATTGTGGGGGTTGATGTGGTGTGAAAAGTAGAAGGCGTGTGGTAGATTGCGCTTTGGGACGTAGAATGTTGGCTCTCTTACAGGAGGGGGAGGGGAAGGGGAGGGGGAGGGGGAGGGGGAGGGGAGGGGAGGGGGAGGTAGTATTTACAGACTTGTTTATCTTTGTGATCGTAGGATTTAAGATATCGGAAAACGTTAGTGAAGGTTTTTGATCAAAGGGTACTAATGGAAGACGGGAAAATAAAAGGTATTGATGATCTTAATATATCAAATTGTATTGTACATCAAGATTTGGTGAGAAGGATCCAAAAGACAGAAGCAAAAGAGGCTCCAAGAAAGATGGGAGAGAGGCCTAGAGAAGTTTGAGAAAGAGGCATTGAGTAGTTAATACGTTCTTGAACATGATCTGGAAAAACAACAAGATGATTCCCATATTTAAAAATAAGGGTGATGTACAAGAATGTGTCAACTATCAAGAATTAAGCTTATGAGTCACACCATGAAACTTTGGGAGCGCGTGATCAATCAAATACTCCGAATAAGTGTTGAAAAATTGGAAATTCAATTCGATTTTATGCTTGAACGCTAAACAGCTGAGGTGATTCACCTTTTTGGACAGGTTGTGGAAAAGTATAAAGACGCTAAAAAGGATCTGCATTTAATGTTCATTGACTTAGAAAGGGCATATGATAGGGTACCCCGAAAAGTCTTTTGACAGGCTTTAACTAGAAAAGACATATCACGTAACAATATCAACATCATCATTGATATATACGAGGCTTGTACTACAAGTGTCTGTACTTGTGTAGCGAGGTTTGCAAAGTTCCTTTTTACTATTAGAGTGCACTACGGATCGACTCTAAGTCTTTCCTTATTTGCTAGTCATGAATGAACTTACGAAATTAATTCAAAAATATATATTGTGGTGTATGATGTTTGTCGACGATACTGTATTGATTCATGAAACACAATTGGGTGTTAAAACATAGTTGAAGTATGGCAACAACATCGAAACATGGCTGAGTATATGAAGCACAAAATTGGTGGAGATAAAAGTAGTTGTAAGAAGGGATTATCCTTGATGACAAGAACACACGCGTCAGTGATATGTTTTGTTACTTGGGCTCCATAATTCAGAAAGAGGGTGAACATGATGGAGATGTATCCCATGAAAACATTGAAGGGTGATGAAATAAAAGAGAGCATCAAGATTTTTACGTGACCGAGGTATGCCAACTAGACTTAAGGGTAAATCTTATAAGACAATAATTGAATATGCATTAATGTATGGCGTAGAGTGTTGGACGATTAAACAATGTCACATTCAATAGATGAGTGTGCAGAGATGCGCATGTTGCGTTAGATGTGTGGATATACCAGAAAAGACCGCTTGAGTAATGAGGTAATCAGACAAAAGGTGAGAGTAGCACCTACAGAAGATAAGATGTAGGAGTCTCGATTGTAGTGGTTTGGTCATGTGCGTAGAAGACCAAGTGATGCACATGTTAAACGAGTTGAGATATGGGACCAAAGTGAGGGTGAATATTCATGTGAAGGATATATTTTATTCCACTCTTTTTTCTCTCATTTTTTATTTTTATCTTTTATATTTCTTATGTTCTTTCATATTATTATTTATTTTTATATTATTTTTATATTTGTTTTATCTTTATTTATGAAGTGGTTGAAAAAGTAAAAGTTGTGGTTGAGGTTTGAGTATAATAAAGTGAAATGATGTAAGCCACGTATTTCTTTCCAAAAGAGATAAGGAGACACTTATTCTGGGACAACCCAAAAAAGGAAAGTAGGATAGGTAAAATGGGATGGAGGGAGTAATATAATTATTGTGCATAATAATTACCCTTATTTTTAATTTTATATATATTGTTAAATACTTATTAATATAATGAATTATAAATGTTGACCGAATTTTACTGACATTGACCGAGTTGACCCCTCGGATCCGGCCTGATCGTGACTCAGTCATTTGTCCGAGTCACTTCCGTGTATGATTCTTGTAACATAGCCAATGGGGTGCTTGTTTTAAGAAATGGCTCACAATAAAAGTGAAACATAACACACAAAGTTCAAAAATATGACTGATTATACTACCTCTATCCCAAAAAGGTTTGTCATATTGACTTTTCTTTGTCAGTGATGGCAAAATTTGGACAATGGTTTTAATTATTATATGTGTACTACCTCCGTCCCAAATTGATTTGCAAATTTGACTTTTGTTGGTCAAACAGTTTCATTTTATTTACTTAATTAGGATGTCAATTTTTAATTATATTCTAATTTGGTGTTTGCAACTTTGAAGAGAATGTAATGTATTTTTTGAATATGTAAATTTTAATTATTAAAAATTGAGTTAATTATCGATAAGGAGGTTTGACTTTTATTATTGGTTGACAAAAAAATGTTGACTTTGCAAAACAATTTGGGACAGAGGGAGTATATGATTTATAAATTTATAAATTGTATACATTTATGGAAATACTTTAAAAAAAAAATCATATTTAAAGTAATTTCGTGTTAAAAATGAGTGAATTACCTAAATACAATTAAAATGTGGCCAAAAATCACAAATAGGACTACAATGTTTTAAATTTCCTAAATAGGACTAATCATGTATGTTGGAAAATATATCCCTGTGGTTTTTGGAGTGCCCAAGCCCAGCTATAGTCGTCGGCCCTCGTCCACTGCCCGCGCATCCGCCCTTGATGTCGTTGCCACCACCGGCCGGCCAAATCTATTGGAAATTTCCAGAATAGATTCGCCGCCAGCTTGGGTCGGAGCTCTGCCGCCGCCGGTGGTCACGGATGCCACCGCCGGACTGCCCCACTACAAACGGACCGACCCGATTTTGCAAGTGAACTAGGGGGCAATTAATTAATTAGATTATGAGTATTCAGGGTAAAAAATTAATGTTTAGTCCTATTTATGAAAGATTTAAGTTTTGGTTCTATTTGTGCAATTATGTTTACATTTAGTCTTATTTAAGACAATTACTATTAAAAAATATCATTGGACAAAGTTGACTACTATTGACGAAGAAAAATCAATTTGACGAACCTTTTAAGAGTGAACGGTCCTATTTTGGGATGGTGGGTCACATTTGAGAAAATGCTCAATGCTTCACTCGTATTTCTGGAATTTTTTGTGTGCTTTTCATTTTCATTAAGCTTATCTTTACGGGATTGTTTGTATGGTAACATTTCAAAAAACATCCCAGCTATTTTATCACAAAATTCTTTTTTTCTTTCAATAGAATTTCTAAAAGATGTTTTTTTAATATGTCTTTAGCTTCCACCTAAGAAATTAAACTCATAGTGGGCAAAGTGTTACAAATGAATCTTCAAGAGCATTTACCTTCTTCAGAAATCTTGCCATCATATACTTCAAGCTGTGACAACACATAGGTATGTGAATTAGATAGAGATCTTTACCTTACTAAACTACTTCCAACATTTCAAGCATACTACCAAGTACCAAGCATTCAGAATAGCGCTGGGATCTAAAAACCATTCTCAAGTACTCAACAACAAAAGTTCAGCCTTTGTTTGGATTGAATTGATGACCGGAATTGAAATGAATGGGAATCATAAATCAAACGACAGGGAATTAGGGGTCTGTTTGGATGGTGGAAAATATTAGGGAAATAAAACAGGTAGAAAAACCGAAGAAATTAGAAAAGAAAGGAAAATGTCAAGGAAAATGACATGTAGTCTAAAACTCAATAAACATGTTTCAGATATTTTTTAGTTCTATTTTAATTACATAATACTTCCTCCCTCCCTGTATAATTGTCCCATTTTTTCATTTTTGGATGTCCCCCTATTATTGTTTCATACCATATTTGGTTACATTTGTGTGGCTCTAATTCATTCTTACTTTATTCCCACTTTATATACTCATTATTAACCACATAATTCTACTTTTCATAAAAACCACACCACTCCCTTCCGTCCAATATTAAGGGGACAGAGGTAGTAACAAGTATTACCGTTTGCATTTGCCAAGGTAAATCCAGACATAAGAAATTGACTTTCATGAGCATATTCCTTCTTTTTAATAGAATTTCAAAGGTTCAAACATTCTCACAAGGGATATGCACAAAAAAGGGAAGATTCTGAAGCAATAAGCTTACCTGGTCCAATTTATCACCAACATTTGCCCTGTCAACCACTATCATGGAGTGGGAAAATCCACATGCAACACTATGAAAACGAGAGAAAAAACACACATCATAACGTGCATATAAACATGACTTTGTATCAACTATCAAAATATTTCCAAGAGTTGTGGATCGCAAAACAAACACTAACCTGAGAACATGCATGCCATCTAGGATGTCCACCTTTTTAGGAACGGCAGATGATCTACATCCCAGGTAAAATGTTATTACGAATAAATATAAAAGCTGGAAAGTAGATGACAAAACAAATACCATATAACACTCAAGATGTATACAGATATATATATAGATTTTGGTTCAGGTGAGAAATGCATCTAATGTGAGAAATGAGAATGAATCTCAGCCATTAGATTTACGAAGTTGCACTAAAAATGGCTTTATGTTGCAGTAATATTTAAATTTTGCAATGTTGCACTAAAATTGTTTAATGTTGCACTAATATTTGACGGCGTTGCACCGAAATAGCTTCATGTTGCACTAGACAAGTGTAATACGGATTTTTCAGAAGTATTTACAGAAATGCCATTGTGCTAGATTGCATATTTCAGTGCATCATGAAGTGTCTTTTACTGCAATTTAGTCGAATCCAATGGCTGAGATTCATTCTCACTTATCACCCAAAGGGTTCTTCTCACTTGAACCTTACCCTATATATATATATATATATATATATATATAAATGTTGGTGAATGTTTACTTTTGAGCATTAGGGCCGTAACCAAGCTCCCCAGATTGTGCATGTCCCCAGCTTATACAAGAGGAATCAGCACCAACAAAGTGATGCATATACCCCGAATCCATACAACGCAAGTTCCACCCACTTTGAAGGTAAATCAATATATCAGCACATGCGACTTCAACTATTATAAATAATAATGATGATTTGAAATGAACAAGAGAAGAAAATAAAAAGGAACCCTTATGTAGGTGGGAAAGAACCTTAGATCCATTTGAGCTTTAGGATACATCCAGTCATCCCCTGTGACCTTTATTTTCCCCCACATGTATAGTTGACCTCCCCCTGAATATAATGACATGTCCATACAATAAAAAAACATCCAAGCATTAAAAGTAAAAATTACATCGAAATTAAAAATAATAGATAGAGAAAACGGGAGACAAATAAAACCATATCAATCCTCAATGTATACACTCACTTCACTTTGTTCTCTCCAAAGTCATACTCTCATCTAATTCAAGAAGTACCATATCATTCTTGACCAATCTAATCCCCTTGAGTCTAGGTCGTCCTCTCCCTCTCATCAGTCATCACTGTCTCCTCTCCCGCCTCTAAATTTGTCTTACAAGTGCCTCTCTCGATTTTTTACACATGGTCAAACCACTGCAATCAAGACTCTCACATAGTCAAACCATTGCAACCACCACTCCAATTTTTTTGTCTGATTGTCTCATTACTCAAGCAATCATTTCTAGTATGTTCACACATCCACCACAACATGCACATTTAAATAACACTTATCTTTTGAATATGATATTGTTTCACCACCTAGCTATCTACATCATACAATAATGCGAGCCTAATTGTTGTTCAATAAACTTATCCTTCACTTTAGTCAACTTACATGGATCACATAGTTATCCAGACCCTAGTTAGTTAAATATGGTACAGGAATTAGACGAGGTTCAATATATGTACACGTTTTATTCGATAACTTGAATAAAAAACGGTCAAAAAATCATTGAAAAAAGCGTAAACTTTCAAAAACCTTGTAAATACGTATACATGTATAATGTGGTATATAATACAAAAATTTGGACCAAAAATACGCTATTATTCTGAACGTTTAAATTTACATCACATAACACCATATAGTAAAACTAAAAAAAATTATACACATATTCAAGTAGCAAATTCTATTACTACAACGAAAGAATATTTGTAATTGCATAACTCGATGACAAATATGGAAACAATAGTCAAGTTCATGGCATAGTTCTGTAAAATAATGTCCAAAAAATAAGATATAATAATGATAGAATGAGACCAAGTTAACATCATCATCTTCATAGGATAATCAAATAACTCTCAAATTAAACTCATCATTTTCATCAAGGTGATGGATGGTGTACGAGAACGTTGTGTGACTACTATGTTTATTATTGTTTACGTGAAGAAGTTTATACTAGAAAAACGTCAGGTTTAGAAAAACCTTTATTATTTCTTATGCATAGAAGTTTATACTAGAAAAACGTCAAGTTAAGAAAACCTTAATTTTGATATGTCTGTTTGGAAAAACATCAGAATATTTCAAATTTTAGTCTTATAGGATGCTAGCTTTGGCAACCATGCATTTAATTTTAGTATTTAATAATTGTATATTTTGTAATATAACAATACAAAAACATAGGGTCACGGGGAGGAGGTTTTCTTTTTGCTTTTAAAATATTGTTGATCTCCTATGCATTTAATGCATTCATTCAATTGATCAGTTCATGTTTCTATTTCAAGTAAAATAAGGAAAATGTATGTTTTGTTCCTTTTTTGTAAAGTACAAGGAGCATGAGTTTTTTTCCTTTTTAAACTGATCGACCTTATTGTTCGTTTTAAATGTGTTTTTTAATTTAAAAAAAACGATACATGTTTAAAATGCATTTATACTTGCGTGAAATGCCTTTTCTAGTTAAGGCCCACCAAAGAACTTCTCGAGGTACCCTATCATATGCCTTTTCTAAGTCAATGAACACTAAATGCAAATCCTTGTGAGCGTCTCTATACTTCTCCATAAGTTGCCGAAGAAGGTGAATAGCCTCAGTTTTTATTTAATGTTATGAAATCTTGTAATAATGTTTTATTATTGTACCAAAACATAAGGTACTGCGTACCAAACGTAAGGTACACCGTACTGAACGCGTACCGAAATGAACCTACCCCCTCCGAACCGGATACGCTAGACCTAGCGAACCGTGTTCCCGTTCCTCGTTCCCGTACCGAAGCTTTCCGCGAACTATATGACTACGTTATATTTCTCAAATGAACAATTTTTTAATTTTTATTATCATAAATAAGTTCAGTATGGCTTAGCCGAACCGATACTTCCACTACAATTGTGTATTCAATTGTTGTTGCACTCTCAATAACAAATTCAGGATCCATTGCTTTTAATTTGTTATACCAAAGCTCGTGTGGAGCATTAGCAATATTCATGCACATGCATTATAAATTGTTGCATCCAAACAACAATTTATTATATTAATCTAGGTTCACCTAATTTGTTTCCGAATGACATTTTACATATGCACCTAAGTTCACTGTTCACCAGTTTTTATTTAAACCTATTTTACTTTGTTACACCAGGTTTACTTAAGTCCACCCTACCCGAGCATCCAGGTCATAAGGTGAGAATATCTTTTCTCGTACCAAATATTATTCATTATAACTCACTCACGTCACAAGAAAATCCAAAATGTTCTTATGACTTGTTTCTCTCCCTTTGACATTCAGCACACCACTTTCTCAAGATCTTCTCACTTGCCGCGCATAGACACTTCATCACTTACCACGAACATGAGCGTATCTCCTATCATCAGTTCAATTCTCATAATGGGGTTGTTCTTCCAAAATACCTTCACCACATCCTCAATATATCACACGCCACAATAAAGACTCTCATTTCTAGTTTTCTCTTTCCCCGAATACCAAAATTCAAAAACCTTCGGATTTAATCTCACATGTCCTCTCTCCCATCCACTCAGTTTCTTGCATACACATAATGCTGCTATTCCCCCGCGCCATAGCCTTGATGGTCTCATATTATCTTTCTGTAAGAGACCCACGTTTCATGTCCCATAGTGCAACCCAGGACTTTCACTTTCTATTTTAATCACTACTTGGCTTGGGACATACATGAGGATATATTTAACTCCACTTTTTTGCATACTAAAAATGGTCTCATGGAGATACAGTATAAAAAATGGGAAAAGTTCCACTAGATTCTTCTACTTTTTAAAACTTATCACATGAATCTCTATACTAAAAAAGTATCATATAAGCACACTTACACTAAAAAGACAACCAAACCACCCATATTGACTTTTTGTAAATATTCATATAAATTTAAAAACATAGAATAGATATATAAAAAATAGTAAAAATCTTAAAGTAGATAGGGATTGTCAGTGTCAATTTCGCCAATCTATAAAAATAAACAAACACAATCTTCTTAAAAACATGCTTCAATTTTATGATGAAGAGCCTATGCAAATTGAATGTGGGAATTACAAGTCTTGGCGAGACAACGAATTTAGCAGCTCATTATGGCAATTATTTTTTAAGCAATGGCCCTATGTAGGAGTAAAAGTGTTAGTGAATTCCATATATTTTCCAAGTCTCGGTGCGACACTTTTACTAGACTGTATACATAGCAATATTTTCCATGTATACTAAAGCATAGAGAGACGGTTTCCGGATGACCCATGATGAAAATCACGTCGAAAATTGCATGGACTGATTGCTGCTTTATAACAAAGAAGCGTAGACAGTTTAGTGAGGCATTTTACTTTATGAGGTTTTTCCCAAAATATTAGAGGGAATTTGAGTTTGCACCCCATTTTATTGTCTAAATTGGACTTTGCACCCCGGTTTTAAAAAAAAATTGTTTTTGCTCCCCAACTCCTTATGAAAAGACAAAGATGCCCCTCCATTAACAATTATGTTGGTCTTCAACATGTTCCTGATTGAGGGATATTTTTGTCTTTTCATAAGGGGTTGAGGTGCAAAAACAAATATTTTCAAAAACGGGGTGCAAAGTCCAATTTGGACAATAAAATGGGGTGCAAACTCGAATTATCCCAAGATATTACTAATAAAAAATCTATGTATAAAATGTGACTATAAGTTACTATGAGTAAGTTTTTAAGTCACTATTATATAACATTTGAATACAATTATAGTCACTGAAGTTACTAGAGTCACGTTTTTGTCCACTACTTTTATTTTGGTTATATTTGGAATCATTCTCACTTTATTCCATAATATAATGTATAAATAAGGAGTATAGTTTTTATATATATTTGGACTGATCAATAATATTAAGGTATTTTATAAAAAGATCACCGCCTCCATCAAATCAAAGTCAGGATGCCAGAGAAAGATAAGTGGTAATGTACCAACTAGTTCTCATTTAGTGCCTAAACAAATCGATTTGAATCACCTCCCTTGGAATCTCGTAGAGAGAGAGGACCATGCCAGACTTGGGGTCATGATTTTTCTCAAAAAATTACATTGGTTTAATTTTGCGTGGTGACATGGTTAAAGTGATGGTGGCTACGAAAAACATGTTTCATATCATTTATAATATCGACTACTCAAATTGTCATTGATTTTGTCAATTGTAACAGCTACAGTTGAAAGATACTTTTTTGCGATAAACATTGTCAATTCAAATTTGAGCAATCGAAATAGCGACCATTTTTTAATGATTGACAAACAAAGTTGTGATTGAACGTTCTCAAAAAATAAAAACTCGTAGATAGGAGTTGCAATAAATGTAATAAATTTAATTTTGCTAATATTGGATTGTTTCATCAAATGTAATAAGTTTAATTTTGCTAATATTAGATTATTTCATCATTTGAAGTAAATTTATATTAATTATTCAAAAACAAAATCACTTTTTCTTAATAGGTCCTTCAATAGTTCGAGTTTCTGGATCCACCCCTGCTTGCAGCGTTATCAAACGGAATCTAAATTGAGACCAAAACATTTTACAACATAATAGAGGTTTCTTGTAGATTTTTTATCATTAATGTATATACTAAATTACTAATAAATGTATATATAATTGTGTGTGCATGTGTGGGGTATATAGCATACCAGCCGTGCAAGATGAGTTAAGAGAGCCAGCTGAGAGCACAGCATCTGGAGGGAGGACGTTTTGCCTGGTAAAACCATCAACACGTCGTGGGACCCACTCATCCTTCTGCTCTCTATGTCCAAGCCTACAAACCAAGCAACAGTTAAGCACTTAATTAAAGCCATATTAACAACATGGCCAACTCAAAAAGTCGTGATTGTAATGACATGATTTTCATTGATAACAGTGATATATATCATATCATAAAGAATACAAACCTTCCATAGCCACCAAAGCCCCAGCTGACAAATCACAAATCACCAGTAAAACACCCAAAATGGTTAATTACTGTGTGTACGTGTTTAAAACAAAGTGATCATAAGCTGAACAATACATGAAGTAGGAGATCTTACGTATAAACAAATCCATTGGTATCAACAGCAACTGATCATTGTAACAAAAAAAGAAGAGGATTGTCAACAATATAAATTGGAACATAGATCTTGTGTGTGTATAGTGTGTATACATATGTACATATAATGTGTTATACATATAGGCAAATACATTAAGATAAGAACCTGTGTGGTTTGAACCGCAAGCCACTTTAACTATGGTTTCTCCAGAAAAGGCAGCTATTGCTTTGGGTTTCGGTTGAGGTTCATATACAAGCCTCACTGAACTATCTTTGGTGTTGTGCTGTAGTGAAATAAAAACATCATCAAGCTACCAGACAACCGTTTATAGATGGAAACTAGATGTAGTTCATACAAACTTATCAAGTTATGTCCTTAAGTTTAGGAATTTAATTATAAGAATTTAATAAGATTTGTTAAAATAGGTCTACTTAATCAACCCACCCATACCAGACAACCGTTTATAGATGGAAACTAGATGTAGTTCATACAAACTTATCAAGTTATGTCCTTAAGTTTAGGAATTTAATTATAAGAATTTAATAAGATTTGTTAAAATAGGTCTACTTAATCAACCCACCCATACAACCCAACTCAGTCTTGACAGCACACGGGTAGGCAGATGGGCCAAATCAACCTCATAATGTGCTAACTTGTCTAACTCACCCCAAAAAAGATGTTCAAGATGTATACTTTATGTCACAATTACATAATATACTCTAACCCAGTAAAACCAATGTGGGATACTCAGCATTCTTTGCTATGTCTAACCACCAAGTTACCCATATCTCATTATCTTACACCATTTAACCATAAATTTATTTTCCCTATAAAAAATTCAGTGGTGTCATATGTGCATAATAACTTCATTTACGAACAATCAAACAAATAAAAGATTTTGTGTTAGGAGAAGTTTTAATTTGCGCAGTAAATATATGTTATTAGTCAATATGAAGCAATAATTTGATAGCATGAAAATCACATAAAATAGTTATAACAATGTTACCTCATTGTCAGTGCCATGACCAAGTTGACCATACTGCGGCAGACCAGCAGTTCTAGAAATAATATGAAACAACACTATGCACATTAAAAAATGATCTGCTCATATGGAAAGCAAATCAAGGCATCATATTCAGGAATTCAGATTTATAAAATTCACAACCATACAATATAGAAGATCCTTCCACCGACGTTAGCCACACAGTAAAATCAGCCCCACAAGAAGTTGTTTTTGCTTCCGATACAAGGCAACGTACAGGAGAATGCTCAATTTCTGCAAGATTCCAACACAAAAGGAAACAATTTTACTGAATGGTAATTCAATACATGAAAATGTTAGATTATACCTATAGGGTTGGACCCTAGAAAATGCAGAGGATTTTTAGCATATTATTTATTTTTCCTTAAGTTTTCATTGTTTTCCATTTTTCTCTATGTTTTCCTTGATATTTTCTTTCGACATCTTTTCTGGATTCCAATCAGGCCCTTCAACATGCAGTGGGGTTTACTGAATATACCAACCATTTCTAATAGAACCAGTCCCTAGCTGTCCGTGTTTATTCCATCCAAATGAGAAAGAGAGTCCATCATCAGTAACAACTACTGTGTGGCTCCTTCCAGATCCTGCTCTGATAATTTTATGCCTGAAACAAAAATCAATGGATCATAAAGACATCCTCACTGTTGTGTATGGTACAGTAGTCTTTTGTATGAATCCTTAATGCATGAAAAATGCTAAAATACCAACTAAATTAGGACAAATGGAGTGAGACTTTACCAGAGTTTGACAAAAAATCAATGACTAAGAAATGGAAAAGATCCAAAGAGGCATACTTTGAGAGTTCTGAAACTACTGTTGGTCTGTCCCGTGTAATTTTATCTCCATGACCAAGTTGCCCCTTCTGGAGACATAGAACAAAGCTTCCATCTTTTTTACACATCACAAAAAGCTATATATAGCACTAGTTAAGCAAATAATAGATAGGAGATGAAGAAGGATGATACCTCATTTCGCCCCCATGTATAACAACGGCCTTCAGTATCCAGCGCAACACAATGACATGAAGCTGCAATTATTAAAAAAACAATTACACAGACAAATACTAACAAGTGTACTGCAAAACTGCGGCAGAAGTAATCGAGAAAAAAACAACAATAGAAACAGTCGTGCATTATAAAAAGAACACAAGAAAGAGTGGATGTTATATTAGGAGCCAGTACTGACTACTGAGAGGGTGAATTTGGCTGAATTTACTTTAAGTTACTAAAATTGTAGCAAACATTGCAGAAAATGCTGGTTTAGAAATAACAATTGAAATACATGATACAAGAGGTCAAACGGCCCGAAAAATAAATAAGAGAAAACTCTGAATGACACAGCTGAACCAGAAAAAAGTGGCCCAAATGGCCCCTAAATATTTTAGTAGCTACGTTATGAAGGAGAAACAGTAGCTCATGGAAGGTATTAACTTTACCACAGCCAGCAGCAACAAAGCAAATATTGACGCCTACGAGTGGTCGGAGCCTGGACGGAGAAATCAGATTGTGCTCCGGAGACACCTTACGCCGACCAATAGCGTCCCAGTGCGTGCACCCACAGAACAACAACTCTCCACCCTTCACACCCTTTTGCTCATTCACTTTCTGCTCTGCCATTTCCGGCCTAACTCAGCGGTTCAGATTCAAATAAGTGCTTATTAAAACAAATGAAACACAAACACTACACAACCACAGATCCAGGTCTCATGAACAGATTGCAATCAAACTACGGCCGGGAATTGATAGAAAAAGGGCGGAGCGGCGGCTAAATGGATTATGATGTAGAGAGTTGGTAGTTTTAAAAACCAGAAACCTACAGCGGCCAAATTACCAAATTACTTGTCTACTTGCTTATAATAATAAAGTTCTACCTTCTAATTGAAATTGAATTTTTAATTAATTGCTATTGAGTTCAATTAGTGAATAATCATTAATTGCAATTCAGTCCTAAATTTATAGATTTACTCAATTGATTACTATTGAGTCCAAATAGTGAATATATTGATTATATATGTATATTTTACTAACCAAGCGTTGTTGGACAGATTGGTAAAAAAACCAATTGAGACAAATTGGTATTAAAAAAAAAAGTCTAGTGACAAATTGGTCAATTTTTTTAGAGTGACAAACTTTTGATCCCCGACTTTAGAATCCCCGACATTTCATATTATAAGTATTGTGAAATTGACATTTGCAGTCCTTTTACTTTGATTTTGACATAAAAAATGGAGGTCTAAAAATGTCAACGACCGTGTTTGATAATAGCGGTTGTTTGCTAGCTCATAGCCGGTTGTATCAGTAGATTGAATTAGCGGATTCCATTAGTTTTTTTAACTAACCGCTTTCATTAGCGTTTTGAAATACAATGTAAATAACATAAAATTTGCAATTAGCTTTTCAAACGTAAAATGACCGTTAAAAATTGAATTTAAAAGTTTATATATTTAAGTAAATTTTATTTCTTTTTATTTTTAATAAGTCTTTAAAAAAATTTAAAAAATATGTTTATGTTGATTTTAAATAATTAATAACACTATCATTTTTAAGATATGTATATTGATGCGAGTACACACATATAAATTCATATATTTTTAGTATTAGTATTTTAAATATGACTATTTATTAGTTTTTTAAAATCTACTCCATTTAAAAAATCTACTCCATATGACTATTTATTAGTTTTTTTTAATCTACTCCATGGTTATTTAAAATAAATGTAAATATAATTTTTAAAACCTTTTGAAAGACTTAATAAAAATAAAAGAAATAAAGTTAAGATAAACATATATACTTTCAAATCCATATTTTTAATGGTTATTTTACGTCTTAAGATTTAATCGCAAATAGTTAAGTTACTAATATTTTATTTCAAACGCTAAAGAAAGCGGGTAGTTATAAAAGCTAATTGAATCAACTATTATCAATATGTTGATTCAACTGACTATAAGCTAGCAGACAACCGCTATTATCAAACACAGTCATTGACATTTTTAGACCTCCACTTGTGATGACAAAATCAAAGTAAAAGGACTGCAAATGTCAATTTCATAATACTTATTGATGGATAGTATACCCGGGGGGTATCTTATCCGAGGGGTTATTGCGGGAATAACTAGAGAGAAGTCAGAGCAAAATAGGAGGAGAGGGAGTCGATTTATTAAATGAACTCAGCGTGTGGCGTTGAGATGTAGGTTGTGTCGATTACAAGGAGAAATGGGCTGCTATTTATAGCAGCAATAAATGCGATGAGAGGACACGTGTCAGTAATCCAACGGCCGAAGGGTCACATCAGCCGGTTGGCACCGGCAGTGGTACGTCCACCGCATTGAATGCGGTTGGCGGATGTGACGTGGTATTAAATGCGGTGGTTGGCTGTCTCTAAAAGGAATCTTCGATGATTGAGCTAGTTCAGCCGAAGGCTCCCGGTGCAGCCGAAGGCTCCTGATATAGCCGAGGGCTCCTTGTGTAGCCGAGGGCTCCATGTGGTGAGGACCCTTGCACGGCCGAAGGCCCCGTGTGACCGAAGGCGTAGCAATGCCGAGGGCGTAGCGATGCCGAAGGCTCATTCTTCGCCCGTTTTCTCCCAGTAGCTTCCTATGCCGAAAAGGCCATTCTGTGAGTTCTGGAGCCTTCGGCCAAGGAGGCCGAAGGCACCCCAGTGTGTATTCTGGGCCACTTTGAGGCTGGGGCCGTCGTACTTGGGCCTGAGTTGTTTCCTGAGCTCAATGGACTAGTGTAGGAGAAACAGGAGTCTATGGGCCGGGGGTTCGTGGGCCATATACTCCATCAGGAGTCCCTCACTCCTTTTGCCGAAAGGTACTTGAGGGAAAAGGAGTAGATGTGTTGATTCTTCTGGAGGCTTCATCATTTCGCTGGGTGCCTTTGCTGGAGAACTTGTCTTCTGCTGATTGCCGAAGGCTTCCCTCAGTCCCTCACATGTCGAGGGTTTTCTGAGGGAAGGTATTCACGACCTTCGCATGTTCGCCGATGGCCCCCTCAGTCCCTCACATGTCGAGGGCTTTCTGAGGGCAGTATAACACCTGTATGACCGCAGAAGGCTTTCCTCAGTCCCTCACATGTCGAGGGTTTTCTGGGGAAAGCATAGATGTATTGCCTGCATGTGTTGTGATGAGGGCTGCTTCATTCCCGCAAGTGACTTGGGGAAAACTTGTGATATCTTGCCTCTGCCGAAGGGTATATTGGAGCATGTACCCCGGGGGGTTTCTGCTCTGGTGCCCGGAGGCTACATGCGTCAATTGTAAATCTTTGCATGAGGGAATTTTTGTTTTTGTATGATTCCCGAGGGGTGTATCCCAGTCCCCCACTCCTTTGGGCCGAAGGTTAGTTCGGGCTGAAGGAGTTATGATGTGTTGATGCAAACCCGAGGGGTGATATTATTGATAAGCTAGGCGCTTATGCTGCCGCAGGCTTGAAGGCACTATGTTGGAATGCATTGGCTGAAGGCTGTGGGAGTGTAAGCCGGAGGCTGCAAAGATGAGCTCGCCTCAAGTTTTTAAAACAGAGCCGTTGGAATAGAGCCGTTGGAGAGGGGTTCCACGTGTCAAGTTTTTGGTGGCTGAGAGTGGGCGGATGGCGCCCATTGGTCAAATCGGCGGCATGTAATGATGGCTTTTCAAACGGAGGCCCAATTCTCGAGGCTGAAGGCCTATAAGTACCCCAAGGCGGAGCTCAGTTTCCTTGTGCGTTTTTATGCGATAGCGAAGCTCTGCCAAAATTTCTAGAGAGAGAAAGTCCTTGCTTCGATCAAACCCTATTTCTAAGGTCAGTTCTTCCTCAGTTCTTCGTTTCTTCAGTATACTTAGCTACTTCGGCCTTAGATTAAGTGTTTTTAGTTCCCCCTAGTTAGTATCCTCTTCCAATCTTCCTCCTTACTCTACGGAAAGATGTCCTCGGCAAGCGACTCCCAAAACATCTCGGAGGAAGCCCCCGCCCAATCTGAAAGCTACTTGGGTATGGAGTCATCGAGCGAGGCTTCGTCCAACAATGATTCTGAGGTGGCGAGAGAGGTACAAAGCAACCTTCATGCTGAGGTCGAAGCCGAAGACTTCGAACAGGTCGCTGAGGACGAGGAGATGGCCCTCGCGCTTCAGGTAGCCGAGGAAGAGGAGGAGAAGGAGAGGCAACGTGTCACGGTTGCCTTTTTGCCTTCGCGAGGCGCCGGTGAAACGAGTAGCTCCCGGCCAATTGACGCAGTGCCCCTCCGGGTGGCTTCGGGGAAGAAGGGAAAGAAGCAGAAGGCTGTCCAGAAGAAGAAACAGGCTGCGGTAGATGCAGGACAGCCGGTGGGAATTCCCGAAGGACATTCCTACCTCAACACAGCCGCGCTAGATTTGAAGACGAAGGCTGTGGAGGCGGAGTATCTGAAGACTCAGCTCTTAGTGGGCCCGTCGGCACAGGTGGTGGTGCCAGGTCCTGACGACGTGCTGTTATCTCCCCCCGAAGGCTGCTTTGCTGTGCATATCCTCTCGGTGGAGTTGGGCCTCCGCTTCCCCTTGCACCCCTTCGTCGTGCAGTATCTCCGGTTCGTAGGCCTCGCTCCCTGTCAGTTAACCCCCAACAGCCATTCATACTTGGCGGGGTTCCTTTCTCTGTGTGATTCCCGGGGGGTGGAACCTTCTCTTGACCAGTTTTTCCTGTCCTTCAACCTTTGCCGAGGGGGGGCCGCAAACAGTGAAGGCTTCGCCAACCTTCAACAGCTGCCGGCATGGAGGCTGTTTTCAGAGGTGCCCTCGTCCCACAAGGGATGGAAGGATCGGTTCTGCTACCTGAGGATGCTGGGAGCTGATTTCCCGAGGCCTCTCCGCAATCATTTCCGGAGGCACCCCAAGGTAGGCAACGCCGCCCTTGAGAGTGATGGGAAGAAACTGAAGGCGAAGCCTCCGGGTTCAGAGAAGCTGACAACCATCAAGGCCGCCACGCTCCCGGAAGAGCTGTTCAAGCTGGAATTCCGGCGGTATCGCCTGCCAGGGGAGAAAGACGAGAGATATCCTCTCCTTGACCGGGGCTCTCCGGGTGTTAGAGGTTGTTGCCGAGGGCCATTACTGTTAGTACTTAGAGATGTAAATCCCTGATTTGCTTTTGACTAACTTTTTCCTTGATGTTCTTTTGCAGGCGATTTTATGGACCCGAAGGCATTCTCCAAGCTGTCCCGGCAACTGGCCAAGGACAAGAAGAAGAAGGAGGAGAGGCCCCCGGCACAGCCACAGGGAGATGTCCTCTCCAAGAAGCAGGAGCCCCCTGAGGGTCAAGGGCCCCCGAAGGGGGTTGTAATCGCTGGCGCCGGTTCTGATGCCGGAGGCTCCAAGGAGGGGGGGCTCAAGCGAAAAAAACGCCGGGAAGGGCGTCAGGCCTCCGGAAGGAAAAAAATTGAAGGGGGACGTTGAGCCGAAGGATACCCCCGTGGTGATCATTGATGACCCCCCAGCCGGCCAATCGTCTGCCACTGCTCCCCCGGAGGATCTTGTCGAGGGTGCCTGGCCCCTTGAAACAGTACACTTCCCCATCAAGAAGGGGACAGCCATCATGCATGGCACCCTCGACCCGAGGGAATTCTTGAGGGGTGCCACCCCTTCGGTGGATAGGTCCACCCTTAGCCGGTTCGGGGATGAAGCCCTCGAGCTCAAGGCCCTCCAGGCCTCGGCCACTGTAAGTATTTCGACCTTTGGAATCTTCTGTTATTGTGTTCCTTTTCCTTTGCATAATCTGATCCCAGGTGTACCCCTGTTTGCTTGCAGGCTAGCTTGGCCTTCGGGGAACTTGTCCGCAGGGCGGAACAGCACCGCCTCGAGAAGGCGAAGTCTGACGAGGTGACGAGGAAGCTCATT